TATGACACTTCAGCTACTGAACCTTGGCTATTCTCTACTGTCCTGTCATTGGCACACCTTGGTATACACTTTGTACTTATTTAGAGTGGGTGTTTGTTGTATAGGTGAGTGTTGAGCCCAGTGGACGCATAGTATGTATGACACTTCAGCAACTGAACCTTGGCTAATCTCTACTGTCCTGTCATTGGCACACCTTGGTATGCACTATGTATTTATTTAGAGTGGGTGTTTGTTGTATAGGTGAGTGTTGAGCCCAGTGGACGCATAGTATGTATGACACTTCAGGAACTGAACCTTGGCTACTCTCTACTGTCCTGTCATTGGCACACCTTGGTATACACTTTGTACTTATTTAGAGTGGGTGTTTGTTGTATAGGTGAGTGTTGAGCCCAGTGGACATATAGTATGTATGACACTTCAGGAACTGAACCTTGGCTACTCTCTACTGTCCTGTCATTGGCACACCTTGGTATACACTTTGTACTTATTTAGAGTGGGTGTTTGTTGTATAGGTGAGTGTTGAGCCCAGTGGACATATAGTATGTATGACACTTCAGGAACTGAACCTTGGCTATTCTCTACTGTCCTGTCATTGGCACACCTTGGTATACACTATGTATTTATTTAGAGTGGGTGTTTGTTGTATAGGTGAGTGTTGAGCCCAGTGGACATATAGTATAAATGACACTTCAGCAACTGAACCTTGGCTATTCTCTACTGTCCTGTCATTGGCCCACCTTGGTATACACTATGTATTTATTTAGAGTGGGTGTTTGTTGTATAGGTGAGTGTTGAGCCCAGTGGACATATAGTATGTATGACACTTCAGGAACTGAACCTTGGCTATTCTCTACTGTCCTGTCATTGGCACACCTTGGTATACACTTTGTACTTATTTAGAGTGGGTGTTTGTTGTATAGGTGAGTGTTGAGCCCAGTGGACGCATAGTATGTATGACACTTCAGCAACTGAACCTTGGCTATTCTCTACTGTCCTGTCATTGGCACACCTTGTTATACACTATGTATTTATTTAGAGTGGGTGTTTGTTGTATAGGTAAGTGTTGAGCCCAGTGGACATATAGTATGTATGACACTTCAGGAACTGAACCTTGGCTACCCTCTACTGTCCTGTCATTGGCACACCTTGGTTTACACTATGTACTTATTTAGAGTGGGTGTTTGTTGTATAGGTGAGTGTTGAGCCCAGTGTTCGCATAGTATGTATGACACTTCAGCTACTGAACCTTGGCTATTCTCTACTGTCCTGTCATTGGCACACCTTGTTATACACTATGTATTTATTTAGAGTGGGTGTTTGTTGTATAGGTAAGTGTTGAGCCCAGTGGACATATAGTATGTATGACACTTCAGGAACTGAACCTTGGCTACCCTCTACTGTCCTGTCATTGGCACACCTTGGTTTACACTATGTACTTATTTAGAGTGGGTGTTTGTTGTATAGGTGAGTGTTGAGCCCAGTGTTCGCATAGTATGTATGACACTTCAGCTACTGAACCTTGGCTACCCTCTACTGTCCTGTCATTGGCACACCTTGGTATACACTTTGTACTTATTTAGAGTGGGTGTTTGTTGTATAGGTGAGTGTTGAGCCCAGTGTTCGCATAGTATGTATGACACTTCAGCTACTGAACCTTGGCTACCCTCTACTGTCCTGTCATTGGCACACCTTGGTATACACTTTGTACTTATTTAGAGTGGGTGTTTGTTGTATAGGTGAGTGTTGAGCCCAGTGTTCGCATAGTATGTATGACACTTCAGCTACTGAACCTTGGCTACCCTCTACTGTCCTGACATTGGCACACCTTGGTATACACTTTGTACTTATTTAGAGTGGGTGTTTGTTGTATAGGTGAGTGTTGAGCCCAGTGTTCGCATAGTATGTATGACACTTCAGCTACTGAACCTTGGCTATTCTCTACTGTCCTGTCATTGGCACACCTTGGTTTACACTATGTACTTATTTAGAGTGGGTGTTTGTTGTATAGGTGAGTGTTGAGCCCAGTGTTCGCATAGTATGTATGACACTTCAGCTACTGAACCTTGGCTACCCTCTACTGTCCTGTCATTGGCACACCTTGGTTTACACTATGTACTTATTTAGAGTGGGTGTTTGTTGTATAGGTGAGTGTTGAGCCCAGTGTTCGCATAGTATGTATGACACTTCAGCTACTGAACCTTGGCTACCCTCTACTGTCCTGTCATTGGCACACCTTGGTTTACACTATGTACTTATTTAGAGTGGGTGTTTGTTGTATAGGTGAGTGTTGAGCCCAGTGGACATATAGTATAAATGACACTTCAGCAACTGAACCTTGGCTATTCTCTACTGTCCTGTCATTGGCACACCTTGGTATACACTATGTATTTATTTAGAGTGGGTGTTTGTTGTATAGGTGAGTGTTGAGCCCAGTGGACATATAGTATGTATGACACTTCAGGAACTGAACCTTGGCTATTCTCTACTGTCCTGTCATTGGCACACCTTGGTATACACTATGTATTTATTTAGAGTGGGTGTTTGTTGTATAGGTGAGTGTTGAGCCCAGTGGACATATAGTATAAATGACACTTCAGCAACTGAACCTTGGCTATTCTCTACTGTCCTGTCATTGGCACACCTTGGTATACACTATGTATTTATTTAGAGTGGGTGTTTGTTGTATAGGTGAGTGTTGAGCCCAGTGGACATATAGTATGTATGACACTTCAGGAACTGAACCTTGGCTATTCTCTACTGTCCTGTCATTGGCACACCTTGGTATACACTTTGTACTTATTTAGAGTGGGTGTTTGTTGTATAGGTGAGTGTTGAGCCCAGTGGACGCATAGTATGTATGACACTTCAGCAACTGAACCTTGGCTATTCTCTACTGTCCTGTCATTGGCACACCTTGTTATACACTATGTATTTATTTAGAGTGGGTGTTTGTTGTATAGGTAAGTGTTGAGCCCAGTGGACATATAGTATGTATGACACTTCAGGAACTGAACCTTGGCTATCCTCTACTGTCCTGTCATTGGCACACCTTGGTTTACACTATGTACTTATTTAGAGTGGGTGTTTGTTGTATAGGTGAGTGTTGAGCCCAGTGTTCGCATAGTATGTATGACACTTCAGCTACTGAACCTTGGCTATTCTCTACTGTCCTGTCATTGGCACACCTTGTTATACACTATGTATTTATTTAGAGTGGGTGTTTGTTGTATAGGTAAGTGTTGAGCCCAGTGGACATATAGTATGTATGACACTTCAGGAACTGAACCTTGGCTACCCTCTACTGTCCTGTCATTGGCACACCTTGGTTTACACTATGTACTTATTTAGAGTGGGTGTTTGTTGTATAGGTGAGTGTTGAGCCCAGTGTTCGCATAGTATGTATGACACTTCAGCTACTGAACCTTGGCTACCCTCTACTGTCCTGTCATTGGCACACCTTGGTATACACTTTGTACTTATTTAGAGTGGGTGTTTGTTGTATAGGTGAGTGTTGAGCCCAGTGTTCGCATAGTATGTATGACACTTCAGCTACTGAACCTTGGCTACCCTCTACTGTCCTGTCATTGGCACACCTTGGTATACACTTTGTACTTATTTAGAGTGGGTGTTTGTTGTATAGGTGAGTGTTGAGCCCAGTGTTCGCATAGTATGTATGACACTTCAGCTACTGAACCTTGGCTACCCTCTACTGTCCTGTCATTGGCACACCTTGGTATACACTTTGTACTTATTTAGAGTGGGTGTTTGTTGTATAGGTGAGTGTTGAGCCCAGTGTTCGCATAGTATGTATGACACTTCAGCTACTGAACCTTGGCTATTCTCTACTGTCCTGTCATTGGCACACCTTGGTTTACACTATGTACTTATTTAGAGTGGGTGTTTGTTGTATAGGTGAGTGTTGAGCCCAGTGTTCGCATAGTATGTATGACACTTCAGCTACTGAACCTTGGCTACCCTCTACTGTCCTGTCATTGGCACACCTTGGTTTACACTATGTACTTATTTAGAGTGGGTGTTTGTTGTATAGGTGAGTGTTGAGCCCAGTGTTCGCATAGTATGTATGACACTTCAGCTACTGAACCTTGGCTACCCTCTACTGTCCTGTCATTGGCACACCTTGGTTTACACTATGTACTTATTTAGAGTGGGTGTTTGTTGTATAGGTGAGTGTTGAGCCCAGTGTTCGCATAGTATGTATGACACTTCAGCTACTGAACCTTGGCTACCCTCTACTGTCCTGTCATTGGCACACCTTGGTATACACTTTGTACTTATTTAGAGTGGGTGTTTGTTGTATAGGTGAGTGTTGAGCCCAGTGTTCGCATAGTATGTATGACACTTCAGCTACTGAACCTTGGCTATTCTCTACTGTCCTGTCATTGGCACACCTTGGTATACACTTTGTACTTATTTAGAGTGGGTGTTTGTTGTATAGGTGAGTGTTGAGCCCAGTGGACGCATAGTATGTATGACACTTCAGCAACTGAACCTTGGCTAATCTCTACTGTCCTGTCATTGGCACACCTTGGTATGCACTATGTATTTATTTAGAGTGGGTGTTTGTTGTATAGGTGAGTGTTGAGCCCAGTGGACGCATAGTATGTATGACACTTCAGGAACTGAACCTTGGCTACTCTCTACTGTCCTGTCATTGGCACACCTTGGTTTACACTATGTATTTATTTAGAGTGGGTGTTTGTTGTATAGGTGAGTGTTGAGCCCAGTGGACGCATAGTATGTATGACACTTCAGGAACTGAACCTTGGTTACTCTCTACTGTCCTGTCATTGGCACACCTTGGTTTACACTATGTACTTATTTAGAGTGGGTGTTTGTTGTATAGGTGAGTGTTGAGCCCAGTGGACATATAGTATGTATGACACTTCAGGAACTGAACCTTGGCTATTCTCTACTGTCCTGTCATTGGCACACCTTGGTATACACTTTGTACTTATTTAGAGTGGGTGTTTGTTGTATAGGTGAGTGTTGAGCCCAGTGGACGCATAGTATGTATGACACTTCAGCAACTGAACCTTGGCTACTCTCTACTGTCCTGTCATTGGCTAAATGCAAGAACGTTAGCTCTGCTGGATGCATCTGAGGTACTTGCTTTTTTGCATTTTGTAAACATTTGGTTTTTTTAGGAGACTTTTAAGAGTAAATACAACACGTCTACAATAGGCTGTCTGATCTTCTGTATTTTACGACTTTTCCTGTGATCAATTGAGTATTTGAAATTAGTGTGTCAAGACTGTTCACATTGTGGGTGTTAAGAGCGCCCTCTATTTGTAGGGTCATTGTCACCTTTTTTGCCATCCTCAACTGTACTCAGAACAATTTTACCAGACATTAGGCACCTGCACTTGACAAAAGTTTAACCAATAAAATATAGCCTATTGTAAAAATTACCTCTCTGTTTATTCATTCATATCTAAATACTTAAATACTACTCTACAGATGTATTAATATATTAAAAATGGGAATAAATGACACATATCGTTTAAATTATTCATATCACCACAACGATTGATATTTTCCCTGTGTGACAGGTGTTTCACCTGGTGGATGTAAGGACAAGGGAGGAAATAGAGACCCTGGACCTGGCTGGGGTAGGACTGGTCTACAACTCAGCTTTCTACAAGGGACTGGCCACTGGTGGCAATGTCAGCAAAGCTATGGTAATACACCGACGCTTAAAGTAATGAATTTGTTGAATCTCACCTGCAAGGGCTAGTGTTGCATTTGGGCTGTAATGGATCTCGGGTGATAGTGACATGGTGGCTAAATCAACTTGTGTTCACCGACAAGTGTAGCTCTGATATGCACTGATTCAATAGACCCATACATATATAATACAAATTAAGCGCACTAATGTGAGGTTTACCTGGTGGGACGGCACACTTTATATAAACAGTATCTGGTTTGGGAGGAAATTGATGGCATTAAGTAAATTTAATAGGGATTGGTCTTAACACCGGTTTTATTTTTTTACACTAGTGAAGGAAGGGCACAGATTTTTTGGTTGGATTTTAATTTTGTTAAATGTTAACAAATAAAATTGATATAATTAAACTACCAAAAAGAACATTAATAAAGAATAAGAAATTAATTATGAATGGGCCGGTTGTTGATTTTACTGATTCTTAGCATTATTATTTTCTCATGACAATTAAAAAATTTTCTACTTCAGACCTTGGAGTCAAGTACTTCCAAGAACTCTGTAAACCGTGTCAGTGGTTAAGCTCATAAAAGTGTTATCACTTCGTTTACATTATTAATCACTTCTACTTGTTTAGACTTCCATTATTTAATACAAGCCATTCCAAACCCATTTAACATTTTATCATGGAATTAATAGTTTTATGAACACTATTACATTTAGCTTCTCACTCATACAGAATTTTTGTTGTGAACATCATTCAATTTGCCGCTGGTTTACTGCCTGTTGCTATAAGCCTGTTTATGATTTCATATTAAACTTGTAACTAATCTATAGGCCTAGTCATATTTATAATTTGAAATATGTTTTTATAGATATTTTATAAAAAAAAGGTTCAAATACCTGCTATTAGGCAATCCAATGTTGTTGTAAACACAACTAGTTTCTGCACCTGTGTGGCACCATCATCAGGCTGTACAAGGAAGTTTTTCTTTCTTCATACGAAGGTCATATTGGTTAACACAAAAATAATAGACATTTAATCAGGACACAAACAAGACATTTATGGTAACTGATCAGTTAAATCATTTGTGGCCAACGGATCCATACTAAGCTATGAACCTGGTCCCTAATGGTTCATTACGACTTACGAGTATGGTGTACTCCATCCACAAAATAGCAAAGAGATGATATGCACAACTGAGATGACTCGAGTGAAATAATTGAATAGTAAAAACAAAAAGAAATGAAGCAGTTGAAATAAAAATTAAACTGTGTTGCGTTAAATCAGAACAAAAAGTAAACATGTCATTGATAAATAGTTGTATAAATAATGTTTTTTTAGGGAAACAGAAATACTAAGTGAAGTTTGTACCAAACAGTTAAAAAGTCAGGCTAGCAGTAAATCTAATAGGCCTAATACCGTCAATATCTTGCATTTTAATATTCAGGGGTTTTTAAATAATTATGTGGATTTTATTTTATTTCTTGAAAATCAAATACCCCCGCCGCAGCAAACCTGCAGACTAAGCGAATTTCCATTAACCTGATGATTGGATTTACACTAAAATACCTCTATAAAAATAGCACATTTATTTCCTATTTAAATAGAATAAGTTTAACGAGTACTTAGGTTTGCTGCAACAGGGAGGATAAAAAAATTTTTTTATAAATTGATAATAGTTTAGTAAGAAATAAAAGTATTTTCCAAAATCAATCAAAATATGTTCATAAACAAGCAAACTACAACAGTTGACTTATTCTCCCTAAGAATAACATGGAAATTTCAAAATTAAAATTTTTTTGAATTTTCTCCGTAACAAATAGGCGCATAATAACGCTTCAATATACTAAATTATTTGTTTTTTTAAGCTCTACAATATGGTTTAAAAAGAAATTGTGAAATTTCGTGTTTTTAGGGTCAAAAATGGGAAAACCTATTTTTACCCCATAAAACCCCCCATAAACCCCCGTTCCCATAGTCCGATCATGCTGGTTCGCGAACTCATTCAAAGTTTATCCCGCCTTACACCTTAAAACCAAATTTTATCAAAATCGGACAAAAATTACTCAAGTTATCGTGCGGATGGACACATATATATATCTCTATATATAGATATATAAAAATTTGAACGAATGGTGTTTTTGGCCTCTGGGGACATCAAAATGAAAAAGTAAATCGGTCCCGGGCTTAGGTCTTACCATGAGACCTACGGTAATAGCTACTTCCCTATAGGGAAATTCGCTAAAAAAGAGAAAGTTAATATTATTTCTTTAAATGAACACTGGCTTGATGTCAACAACATAAGTTGTCTTAATCAATTTAGCGATTTTAAAATTGCTGATTTGTATGCGAGAGAGGATCAACTAAGAGGTGGATCTTGTATTTTAATTGAAAAAAAGGTAAGCTTTAAAATAAGGGAAGATTTAAAATTCTTAAATGAACATTTTAGTTTTGAAGGGTATTTTATAGAAGTGAAAGAGTGGAACTCTGTATATGCCTCCATTTACAGAATACCAGGGGATGACACTGACAAATTATTTTTACATAAATTTGAAATTTTATTAGATAAACTATCTAAAGAAGCAAGGACAAAAAATGTATTCATTTCCTCGGATACAAATATAGATATTCTTAAGGAAAAATCTAATTCTGAGAATCTTTTAGAAATGTGCACCTGCTTTGGGTTTACTCCTAACGTTTTTATTCCCACTCGAGTTACCAACTTTTCAAGCACATGTATTGATAATATTTTTTCTAATGTTCGAGCTAAAAATGTTAGTAGCATAGTCTTTGTTGAAATATGATTTGTGTGAATAGTTCATTTTCGTATCACATGTGTTCTCCTATAAGTTAGTTGTCATGGATACCAGATGTGTTTTGTGGAAAGCTATGTTGTGGTTTTGTATCAAGTAAATCTTGTACCTAAAACACCTTTCTCTTTATCATTCTACATAATTTAAGTCCATTTACAACAGGTTATGGGCCCAGATTATTTTATTCAGTGCTTCATTTAAAGAATACCAACTTCATAAGTTTGTAACAGCAATATGGCTCAAAATTCATTACCAATTGAAAGGCTTAAAGGTCACCGTGAGAATTTTGATACATGGAAGTTTGCAGTACAAGCTTACCTGGAAGATTTGGATTTGTGGGACTGCGTATCTGGTGTAGAACAGGATAAGAAAAAGGACACTAAATGTCGATCAAAGCTGATCTTATTGGTTGATCCGGTGAATTATGTACATATTCAAAACACAACCACCGCAAAGGCAGCTTGGGACAATTTAAAGAAGACTTTTCAAGATGATGGTTTAAGCAGGAGAGTTGGACTTCTCCGTATTCTAATAACTACAAAGCTGGAAGATTGTAGTTCTGTTGAGGAATACGTGAACCGCATAGTCACAACTGCTCACAAGCTTACAAATGTGGGTCTGCAGGTAACCGATGAATGGGTTGGAACAATCTTACTAGCTGGTTTACCCATCCGGTATGAACCAATGATAATGGGAATTGAATCTTCAGGCAATAAAGTCACGGCGGATGCAATAAAAACAAAGTTATTGCAAGATGTGTCTCCAGTACAACGTGATATGACTTTTGCAGGAACTGATTCAGCACTGTATGGTTCCAGTTCAAGAGGGACAGTTCACAAAGTGTATCAAAAGAACAGAAACACGAGTAGTTCGGACAAAAATGTGAAGAAAGGTCCTAGATGTTATAAATGCAATGTTTACGGTCACATCTCGAAGAATTGTACATCTACAAGAGAAGTGGGCAAAAATAACGTAAACTCTGGCAAATCTAATACATCACTCTTTGCTGCATTTTCAATGCAATCGGGCGTTAATAATGAGTTCTTTTTAGACAGCGGTGCATCTTGTCATTTATGTGTTGACGTTAACATGCTTCTAAACGCAAGAAAAGGCCAAAGACTAACGATCACCACAGCGAATAATGAGACAATGGTGACTGATACCGTCGGTGATTTGGAGCTTCCAATATGTATTTCTGGTGAGGTCTCGGAAGCAAATGTAAGTAATGTACATTATGTGCCTAACTTAAAAGTTAATCTTTTATCAGTGAGTCAAATTGTAAATAAAGGAAACTCTGTGGTATTCAATAGTGATGGAGCCAAAGTTTTCAATTCAACAGGACAGCTCATTGCTTCTGCTAGTTTAATAAACAACCTGTTTAAGTTGGATATGCCTATGAACACATCTGCATTATTCATGCAAAGCAGTGGCTTAACGCTCTGGCATCAGCGTATGGGACATTTGAATTTCGATAGCCTTACAAGATTAATTAATGGCGTGGCTGATGATATCAACATTTCTGGTAGTAAGCCAGAAACTGTTTGTGATATATGTATGTTAGGAAAAAGCCATCGTTTACCTTTTCCTAAGAGTGAGTCTAAAAGCAGTCATTATCTGGAGCTAGTGCATTCTGACTTGGTAGGTCCTATGGAAGTAAATAGTCTTCGAGGGTCTAGGTAGGTATATTTTGACCTTTTTAGATGACTACAGTCACATGTGTTTTGTTTATTTTTTAAAATCAAAGGACAAAGTCAATGGTCACTTTAAAACGTTCAAAGAGTATGCTGAAAAACAAACTGACAAGAAGATAAAAGTGTTGCGTACAGATAATGGTACGGAGTACTGTAATCGCAACTTAACTGAGTTTTTTAAGTCATCAGGTATTGTGCATCAAACTACATGTCCTTACACACCTCAGCAAAACGGAAAGGCAGAGCGTCTCAACCGTTCCCTCCTAGAACGAGCAAGATGTTTGCTGATAGAGTCTGGGCTTCCATCTAGTTTTTGGGCTGAAGCTGTAAATACTGCTGCTTACCTTCTGAACAGATCACCATGTAGGTCCGTGGAACCAACTCCAATACAAGTGTGGTCAGGTGAGAAGCTTACTCTACAACATCTCAGAATTTTCGGTTGTAAGGCATTTGCTCACATTCCTGCCGAGAAACATAAAAAACTTAGTTCACGATCTACTCCTTGTATATT